GAAATATAAGTTGATCTGGTGGTATATGTATATTCTTTTCTATTTTAAATTACTAAAATACTTATTTTGTAGTCTATTTCAAAACTTATATAATTATAATTTTTTATCTTTATTTAACATTAAAGAGAAATATATAATTTTTTATAATGTTGATTTTTTTCTTTAATTTTTATTTTTTGAAAAAAATATTTATTAAATGTTTAGATGTTATACTAGTTACGTGACATAGATAAGAATGAGATAAATTTCATATCTAGAGTATAAATTTTGACTTTGGGAACTCATCTCTGGTTAGACGTCCTCAAAAGAATTGTCTATAGTATGTTCTATCAATCAAATTCAGAATAAAGATGTCTTTCCTTGATATGTAAAAACAAATATGAACTTAAGATTTTAACATTTTTTTTCTGAAATTAAGAAATGTTCAAAAAATTTGAATGGTTTCCTTTGGCAGTTCCCGCTCTTGAAAGAATTGTCTATAGTACATGTTCAATCAACCAAATTGAGAATGAGGATGTGATCAAATCTGTTCTTCCCATTGCCGAATCATACGGATTTCAATTGGCCAAGCCCTTCCCCGAGTGGCAATGCCGTGGTCTTCCTGTGTTTGAAGGCTGTAAGTACTAATTTTAGACAGCAGCAGAGTTCCTGGTCTATCATTGTTTTGCACCATGATTTTTAGCGTTTTCTTTTTACATTTCAGCTGAATGCCTGATTCGGACAGATCCTGCTACGCATGGCGAGGGTTTCTTCATTGCTTTGTTTGTTAGGAAAGATGCATCTTGGGATTGTTCAAATAAAAACGAAACTAGAATTTTACGTATCACTCCCGGAATTAAAAACGCGCAAAGAAAGAAGAAACGTATGCCGATTATTAGCACGAACCCATTCAAAATGTGGTTATATGATCAACTGATGTAGCTTCCGAAATGGGAGGATATAAGGAGGTGACCAAGATAAAATTAGAGGTGTAAAATGTTTTAAATTTTCTTATTTTCATTTAAAATAGTACACATTTTAAAATTATTTTGCTGGCATCGCCATTTTCTTACCTGTATATTAACATTGATTGAGTTTTGTCTAGCCCGGGCTAAAAAAAACGAGAACAGATTTCCATGTGGCGATAAAAGATAGAGATGGTCAATTGGTAGGGGTGGTAACAAAGTCAGTTCTGTCTATTTGACCTGCTAAAAGTGGCGGAGTGCTGTCTAACACCCCAGATATTGAAAGGCGTGGGTTAGTTTGTTAGATTTATTGTATAATTAACGCCTTAATTCTATATAGATGTAGAATGTAGCCTAGAATATTCATTTGATGTGATAGATGTGTTATATAGAATATCGATATATACTATATTTTCAAGAAATTATTTTATTCTAAACAAATATGACTACGATAAAGTTAAAAAGATATATAACTTTAGAAACAGATATATAAATGCAGCTGCACTGAAAT